AACTTAAGATTTGAAAAAATTTTGGTAGAGTCTCCCCTAAAAATTGAATCTCCTAAGACTTTTAATAAAAATTTATAAGAAAAAATTGATAATTTTAAACTAAATAAATGATCACATACAATAACCTGAGGCTTTATGAAGCCACTAACAGTACTCCCAACAACAATCAATATCATTAAAAACTAAATTTAAGTAATTTAGAGGAAAGAATGAATTCAAAATTTTTTTTGATAGAGTCTCCCCTGAAAATTGAATCTCCCAAGACTTTAAAAAAAATTTACAAGAGAAAATTGACAATTTTAAACCAAATAAATGATTACTGCAATAACCTGAGGCCTTATAAAGCCACTAACAGCACTCTCAACAACAATTGATACTATTAAAATCCAAATTTAAGCATTATAAAATCTAAAAATTCATATTCAAGACTTACTTGGGTGATGGTAGTTGCAGTAACAGCTCAGCACTGAGAGAGTGAGGAGGGGAGAAGGAGTGGTGGCAGGACAAAGGCATTGACAAAGGGGAGGGGGAGCAGGGGGAGAGGTGGGGGGAGGAAGGCGTGTGAGGGGGAGGGGGTGAGGGAGGGGGAGGGAAGAGGGGGGCTAGCTGTGAGAGGGAAGAGGGGGAGGAAATGAAGGAGGAAATGAGAGGAAGGAAGGGGGTTGAAGTAGAGCAAATAAAGGGGGAGGAGATTATGCAAGTTGTGTGGGAGGAAAAAAGAGGGTAATTTAAAAAATTTTCTACACTGAGTAGACCTCCAGGTGCCACTCGGTGTAAAAAGTTCATTTTTTACACAGGATGGACCTTCATCTGGTGTAAAAACTGTCAAATATGTCAACATAATTATAAAAATACCATCGCCTTAACTTTTTACACCGTTTGCCTTCCAACTGATGTAAAAAGTACTCTATAAATTTTATATTTTGTACTAGTAAATGCTCGATCTTTCACTAAAAATGAAAAGGTTGCATGATCTAAATTTTAAAGCATTGCCCTTGAAATTAATTACTCTTTTCGTTCTTATATATAAAGTAATTTTAATCAAATTGTGTATATTAATAAAAATTTACTATTTAATTAAAATTTTTTTAAATCACATTAATTTTTTAATTTTTTCCTAATAATATTAATCAATAACATGATAGTGTTGCGTAAAACCCACAATTAATCTCTTATCTTTTTTTAAAGATAAGAATAAAATTATCTAATTACTTAAAAATGTAATGATACCATTTATATATTTAAAGATAAAATAAAATTTTAAAAAATATCACACACACACAGATATATATATATATATATATATAGAAAGAGAGAGAGAGAGAGAGAGAGAGAGAGAGATGAAGAGAGTAATGAATTGTCATGTGGTTGGCAAAAACATGTGTGGCAAGCTTTCATTACAATAAAAAAGATTGCACCATTTAAAAAGTTAATTAATTATACGGCAAATTTGTAGTATATAATTGAAAAGTGCAAAAGCAAAGATCCGAATGTAACTACTGGCATTATTAGAGAATTTAAGCAAGAGGTAAAGTTGAAAGCTAGTTAGCTCACTCTTCAATGGTAGGTCGTCATAAATGAAAATGAGCAGTAATTTAATTATTTTTTACCTCCATCATTCATATGTTATAGTTTCCTGAATGTTTGCAGCATCTAGAATGTCCCTAACATGTTACTCTATGTACAAATAATCCTAACTGTTATTTTAATTTACACACAAATTTATGCTCCCTTTATTAAAAAATAAAAGATATTTTTAATTGAATTTTATTTCAATCAAGTAGTTATTTGTGCTCAATTAACTCTATCTTTTAATATTTACCCTTATTTAATAGGGTGTTTTATTTTAAAATAAATATAAAGTGATTCATTCAATAGGAACACTTCAAATAAAAGGTAATGATTACACCTTAAAAGAATAAAAATGTTTTATATTTTTGAATAGTCAACTCTTTAAAAAATGCAAATTAAAGGAGGGAGTATATATCTTATCTAAAATGTTTCATTAAAAAAAAAAACTGTAAGTGATTGAGAGGAAGTCAAAAAATCAACATGTTTTGATCCTAGTCAAAATTTGGGAGGAGCTATGACTGTTTAAATATGATATCCCAGATATGATGAGTTTGCATGAATGCAAATTAAAAAAAAGAGAATGACATTTAAACCTATCTTAAGGGAATTTATTGTAATAAGGACTGCCCATTAGTGTTGCATTGAATATTATTTTGTAAAAATATGTATATGTTGTTGTTAACAGCTGAACATTAACCAGTTAAATTTCTAAAGAAACCATAACAAAAAAATACAAGTCAAGATTCATTTTTTAACATCAACATATACCTATTTTCATAAGATAGTGTTTGATGTAAAATTGATGGGTTCTTATTACGATAAATTCCTTTGAGGGAATCTTAAATGTCATTCTCCCAATTAAAAAGAACCTTTAAAAGTTCAACAATGTCCAAATTAAATCTGAATCAAATAGCTAGTCACACACACTTCATGTAAAAAAGAAAAAAGAAAAAAAAAGGAGGATATGAACCAAGAAGCATGTGAACTTGTGAGCGTAAAGAGAGGGTAAGTGTAAAGTGTAATTTGGTTGTTAAGAATTGAATGCTGCTGCTGCGTACCTGTCTCAATATATTAAATAGGATGAGAAATTTTTGAGGGAATTTGCTGAACGTAAATAATTTTCGGTACGAATATGGCTGTAGTGTCCCCATTGCTGTCTCTCATAACCAATAATTTCATTACGGGCCATGTATAATTAATTAATAAGTTAAAAGTGTACTTTTTATTCTCAAATTTTATAAAATATATTTTTAATCTTTTAACTTTTATACTGTTTGTTTTAAATAATTATTTTTTATATTAATTATTATTATTTTAAAAAATTAAACTTAATAAATTAACATTTGACAATGTTTTGTTAATATTTACAAATTTAATATAAATTTTTGTGTGTGATAAAACTAACAGTATTAGAGTTAAATGATTAATAATATATTTTTTAAAAATTAAAGGATCAAAATAAAAATTAAAAGTATACTTTAATCTTAATTCGTATATAGCTCGCCATTGTCTTCTCTCAACTACGTACGCCCTCCCTTTTTATATTTGCACTTGCAAAAGAGTTTAAAATATACAATAATTTTTAAAATTTTTATTTATTAAAAAACTATGAAAGTACATTTCTATATTTTTAAGGCAAAACTCTTAAAAAAATACACAATATCTCAACTAAAAATATAAGGAAAGTACATATGGATTTTATAAAATTCGAAAATACAGATTGCGAAATGCAGTGTTTGTTTCTTAAGAGAACTATATAGAAATTAAAAATAAGTGATAGGTTTGTATATTAATAAAATTCGTAAAAAATTGTATGATTTTTAAAAATAGAGAGAACATGCTTATATGATAATTTCAATAAATATAAAAAATTGTAACTCAATTTTAAAAAAATCAGAAAGAAAATTCGCTTCAAGATTAATTATATATAATAAATATTACGTTTTCTAATGTTTGTCTGACATAAGGATAATATAGTCATTTCATTTGGATACTAAATCAGGCACAACAAAAGAAATGCTTGTTTCCCCACATCTAAGAAACGCAGGCCATTCGCCATTATATTGATTTGATCCCTTCGATCCTCATTAATGCCCAAATTACACTCTCACCTAATTTCATCTAAAAATATCCCTATACCTACTTTTCATTTCCCTTTCAATTCACGTCACTAATATTTGAAGTTATCAATCATAGAAAGAGAGAGTATATATTTCTTTCACATCACTTATCGTTAATTTTTGAGTTCTGTTTCAAACATCCTAATATTTTCAAAAAGAGTTAAATTACATTTTTATCCTATAAATATTTTTAAAGGATCTATAGGCAGTCTAAAGAAATTTGGGACATAATATAATATATACTCCCTTGATTCAAAATATAAATATTTTTTTAATAATAATCCACAAATGAATAAATTTTTTATTCTCATGAATATATATATATATATATATATATTTTATCACATACACAAGAGTCTCACTGGTTAATAAATATAAGGAGTAAAATAGAATTTTTTTTAAATATTAAGTTGCTTATATTCTAATTGAGAGAAAATGCTTATGTTTTGAATTGGAGGGAATAGTCTTTTAAAATTGGTGGAATATTATTATTCTTTTTAATATTCAATGTTGGGTAAAAAAATCTCTCAATCCACACTACCAAATGACTTAATGTACATCAGTTTTAAAATGTTAACTGCTATATTATCCTCATAATTATTTTTAGGATGGGTATATAAGTCCATAACTCCTCAAAGAAAACTTTTAGCATCAAAATTCATTTTTAAGCCTTTAAAAAATAATGAAGTTGGGACCAAGTCCACTTTAAAAGAAAAAAAATTAAGTTGCAAATTTTAACTTCATAGCTAAAAGATTAATTTTCTACCAAAAAAAAGATTAATTTTATTTTTTAAAAATAGTAATAGCTCTAAGAAAAAGAACAATTTCAATTTAGACCGTTTAACTTCTAATTTTTAAACGAACAGTCGTTCATTTTTCCCCCTAATAAAATCATAAACAAATATACAACTTTACAACTAAAACAGAATTTTGTTCTACTCCCCCCCGTCTTAAATTATAAGGCATTTTTGAAAGAGTTTCTCCATCCCAAAATATAAGACACTTTAAGTAGATTAAGGTTTTATTAAATACACCAATTCTAATATTACCCTTCTCTCTCTCTATAACTAATTTATATCACTTTTCTTTGTAATACATTAAATGATGGTTATTTTAGAAAGTTTATATTTTTATTTTAAAAAAATAATGTTGTCAAAATGTGTTTAATGAGGTTTATTGATACGTGAGATTTTGTCTAAAAGTGTCTTATAATTTAGGATGGAGGGAGTATATATATGTATACAAAATCTTGACTATTTGTTCCCTGGCATCTATACCTAATCATATTCCATTCTTAAATACTGAAAGTGTACGTAAAGAATTGTAAAGGACCTAGTTGATTCTTAAACAAGGTTTTAATCTGAAAGGGAGGAAAAGACAGTCCTTTTTTCCCAACCAGAGTGCTCAAAAAGTTCAAGTATCAGCACCAATCTCAAGAGACCAAGTGGAATGGGAAAACTGATCATCCATAGTACCCTTCTCTGTGTTAGTTTGATTGAATTCATCTTATTCGTCCCAGTTTGCATCTCAGCAAGAACAAGCAGTAGTAGTAGTGGAAAGAGAGTTCCGGCAATTATTGTCTTTGGTGACTCGTCTGTAGATTCTGGGAACAACAACTTCATCCCCACCATGGCTAGGAGCAACTTCGAGCCTTATGGACGGGACTTCTTCGGTGGCTTCCCCACTGGAAGGTTCTCCAATGGCAGAATTCCTCCTGACTTCATCTCTGAAGCCTTTGGTCTCAAACCCTGCGTTCCTGCTTACTTAGATCCTGCTTATAATATCTCTGATTTTGCTGTTGGTGTTTGCTTTGCTTCTGCTGGTACTGGCTATGACATTGCCACTTCTAATGTCGCTGTAATCACCTTCTTCACACTTCTTCCATCTTCACTTCTGTTTATACTAGAACACGATGAATCTGAAGTATCCGTGAGTAGATGGCCAAAAAAAAACATGTCAGAATAATAACATGGAGATTCTCAGAAAGTCGAGTTTAATTTTCTGAAAAATTATATGCATCCTGAGATTTTTGTTTTGGTTTTCTAAAACATACGATGATGGTGAGAATTTCATAGTGTGTTTTGAAGGAGTTGGGGTGTCTGCTGCTCCATATGTGCCCGAAAACTCAGTCCTTCATTTCAGCTAATGATAAGAGAAATTTCATATAATTCTCCCTAATATAAGGAAGGGCTGAGATTTAGAGATGTGGGGTGTATGTTGCCTTTCTGCTACCCCCTCTAATGCCCAAAATTTCAGTCCTTGATAATTCATCTAATTCTCCCAAATAAAAGGATAAGATTTTAGATAATTGAGGGGTAGTAGCTAGAGAATTCTGCAGATACCCAAAATCTAAGATTTTGGGCGTTCAAGGGGACAGCAAAGAAGACAAGTGACAATCCAAATTCATGTTTTGAATCGGGAAAATCTCAAGATGCTTGCAATAACTTAGAATCTAAAGAGATCTAGCTAGCTTTCTCATTGTTAGATATATATAGCTTGAGATATGTACTATGATTTAAAGAATATAATGAAACATAAAAACATGCACTATGATTTGGCTTGTGACAATGGAGCACTGTAAGTCAGATAATTAATTTTTTGGCAGGGAGTAATACCACTGTGGAAAGAAGTGGAGTACTACAAGGAGTACCAGGAGAAGCTGAGATCCCATGTTGGCACCGACAAGGCGAACGAGATAATAAGAGAAGCTCTTTACCTAGTGAGCGCAGGAACAAACGACTTCCTGGAAAACTACTACACCATGCCAGAACGACAACTAGAGTTCACGGTCGAGGAGTACGAGGATTTCCTGATAGGTCTAGCAGACAAGTTCCTTAGAGGGCTCTACGACCTTGGAGCAAGGAAGGTGTCCCTCACAGGAGTCCCTCCTATGGGGTGCTTGCCCTTGGAAAGGACTATCAACATTCTGGACAACCATGGATGTGTGGAGAAATACAACAACGTGGCTTTGGAGTTCAATGGGAAGTTAGGTCAGTTGGTGAAGAAGCTGAATAAGGAGCTTCCTGGGTTTCAGTTGATCGATGCAAATGCCTATGACTTCGTATTGCAAATTATCACGCAGCCTTCTCGTTTTGGTAAGATCTTTTCTTAATTACATCTCTTTTAATTTGCTGCTCAAGTAGCTAGCTCGTAGTCTTTCTAATCTTAAGGATTGGGCTGAGAATTAAATAATTTAGTTCTGTGGTTCCATTTCTAGGTTTTACATAGAATACAATAGCATATATTGTACGTAGAATCCCAAATGATGCCTTTGATTTTGCTGGCTACCAAGCTAGTTCAGTTAGTTCATGCTTCTTTAATTTTGCAAGTAAATACGCCCTCCTGTCCTTGCTAATTACAGGACAAAATTTAAGATCCTATTCGGTAATTAATATGAAGCAAATTAAAGATGTAGTAGTTAATTGTTTTTCTAATATTGCCCATCTTTAATTGCACCAAATTGTAATTTCTAGACATGCTTTATTGAGGTCATTAATGTTAGTGAAAGGTAAAATTGGAAAGTCAAACGTTTTTACAAATTTAAATATATTTACTGAGTATCATTTTTTAAGAACATTAAAATTTGTTGCCTTTATAATTAGAAACGGAGGAGTATGGAATACTCTCTCTAGTTCTTATTATAAACCAAACTTTGAAAGTTCTTTTGGATCCTTAATATAACAAAAAGTTAGAATACTTAATTTTATTTTCTAATTTTACCCCTTATTTATTTATTATGATTTGAATTCATAGACCACAATTTAATCTCTTCATCCTATTTTATAAAACATTCTTTTGAGATGATTTGGTGTTTCAAAATATAAGACATTTTGAAAAAAATATAAATTTTCATAAATGATGATTATTTTAATATTATTCTTTATTATTTCACTCCTTAAATAAAATTTTCCCCTCCTATTAAAGAAGGGAATTTTTGAAAGTTTATAGAAAAATTAAGATTCTAAATTATATTTAATGAATTTCAATGTATATAGAGCTTTGTTAGAAAAATGTGGTTATAATGTCAAAATTGAAAAGTTACATACTGCTTGTTTAACAATTTTTAGGATATAACTACTATTTTTTAATACATGTAAAATTGGTTAAGTTCACTTTATACTCTTTTCATCCTATTTATAAGGTGGGAAGAAAAATTTTTTTAGTCTTATTTATTAGTCATATCATTAAATATTTACTTTAAATTTTCTCCTTTACCTTCTATCAAATGTTGTTGAGAGAAAGTACATTATGAAAATATATATACTTAATAAGGGCAAGTTTAAGAACTTATTAGATTTTTAGACATAATTCATATTTTTAATTTTTTTCATAATTATGATAATATATATTAGAAATAACTAATAAATGATTAAGAGTTAAGAAATACTTTCTCTGGATCATAATATAAGTGTCTTTTAGAAGCACCCTTCGATCTAAAATACAAAACATTGGGTTAATTTTATGTTTTTTACCATTTATACGTTTTACCTTTTTTGTTATTTGTTTTTAAATTTACATTTAAAAAAATAAAGTTTCAACTATTATTTTTCATAAAGCATGAATTAATTGCTAAAGAAATATATGGCGTTCTGGAAAGAGTATTAAGAAACGGGGGAAGCCCTGATTTGAAAGCTGAAAGTTACTTGAAATCTGAGACAGCCATTTATGGATATTAAATAAACATTGATGTCTTGAGTCTCGAGATTTGAAAGCACACCAAACAACAGAGCAAGTAATAAAGTGTTGAGTGTTGTTTGTTTGGGCAGGTTTTGAAGATGCGGGAGTGGGGTGCTGTGGAACAGGCAGATTTGAGATGGGTTTTATGTGCGATCCAAACAGTCCCTTCACTTGCCCTGATGCTAATAAATACGTATTCTGGGATGCCATCCACCCTTCTGCCAAAACCAGTCAGCTTGTCTCCAATTATCTCATTCAAACTCATCTCTCCCAGTTTCTTTGAGCTTATTCTTCCATGGCTTCCCTAGCTCTCTTCATACATATTCATAAACCTTCATCACCAAAACCTCTTTTATTATATCATTGCTATAATTATTTTAATAAAATGTGATTAAATTTACTGTATTACTATTAGCTTTTGATTTTGATGCTTAATAATTTGTTGTTTGAAAAGATATCCCTTTTCTCCCTGAAAAAACATGGAGATGTGCAATATTTATTGTGGCATTTATCTTATCGTGCATTATATTAACAGTCTTTTTTCCCTATATTATTTTATTAATGATCGGTTGGACTATGATCGTTCTATTAAATTGTGAACTGGCGGTATTTCAATCAAATTTGATTTAATCTCGGGTCTGGTTTTCTTAATATTAACAAGGGATGTTAATTGTCACATCATGGTAACTACATGAGCAAGACATGATGCGGGACGTACAGATTTCATAGTTTGATTATTATTACAGTATTCGCGGCATAATTTTGATCCGTACAAAGAACGAACTTTCTCACTTGTATGTTGGAAGTGACAGGATTTGATTGTGAATAGATGTTATATTCGGAGGCCAATTAATTAAATGGGACCCAGGGAAGGGGAATTAGTGGTTGATATTCAAAATCAAGAGCGAACAAACGACTAGAATTTGATAACTTGGGGCCCCCACACGGAATCACGACACGACCTGGATCACGGGTGAATGGCATCAAAGAATGATCAAGTTCATCATTTGGAGAAAACAAAGCTGAAAAAGGGCGGGAACGCACATGAATCTTGTGCGTACGGCTTGAAGAAGAATCAACAATAGGGACACCACCAGACTTTTTGATTCAAGGGTGCGTGGCTTGCATGAAAAAGAATCATGGGGATAATGAGTTGAGAACACGCATCATCAGCACAGCTTCGCCCATGTTGAGTTCTTGCTCTTCATCCTCAATGGCGTCACCACTCGCTTCCTAATAAGCATGCATCAAACAGTACATGTATCAAGCTTAGTGCGTAGGTTGGAGTACTTCATTAATTAAGAGCAGAAATTAAAGGAACAAGAAGCGTTTGGATTCCTTACAGTCACAGGAGGGAGGTTGAGATCGATGTGAAGAGGCTTTGATTGCGTTATTAATATTTGGGAGAGAGTGTGACGAAGTTGGGTGATGAGTGTGTGAAACCACACGGACTCGTAACCTGCTATTGCTTTCATGGCACTGGCTCTGCAGGAGAACTCAGTCTTGGCTGCTTCGGAAACTCCCAGACGCTGCATGTACTCCACTATCACTTCATTCATCTCTCCCACTCTCTCCTCTCTCTCCTGATGACCCATGTGTGTGTGTGTGTGTGTGTTTGTGTGTCACAAGACGCGAAACTTACATTCAGGATTTGATTAACGTTAGCTTGAGTGTCCCTTTTATAGCAGCCGAGGCAACAAGACTTCATTGATGTTTGCTAACGTACGCTTGCAGCGTTTTGAGTTTAGAGACGATGGTCTGTCGGGGGAATAATATAATAATGCCAATTTTTCTGACACAAGAATCCAAAAAAAGTAACTTCATGAGTTATAATTCCAACTTCACATCGTCCATTTCACACTTTCGCCGCCAGGTCCCACAACCACGAGACTATTATAAACTCGCTAGTCCCTTGCATTATTGTACAGGGTTGTTCACGGGACGGGACGGAATCGAAACACCCTCATTTCACGTCCTATTTTAAAAAAAAATTGAGATTAAATTTTAATCCCGTGTTTCATCCCGTCTCAAAAGTTGTCCCGTCTAGTTAAGAGTTGGGATGGGACCGGGACAAGATCAGGATGTCCTGCTGTCCCGATAAATGGAATAAGATCAAAAAAAGATTTGGATAATAACGTTTATTAAAATTTTAAATTATATAATTTATTAATTTTAAAATTAAAATAACACAAGTACATAAATAACAATAATTTACAATTGATTATTGAATTATATTAATCACAACTACATATTATAATAAAAAATACAAGTGATCTTTATGTTATAAGATTAGTAACAACAGGCAAGTCAAATACAACATCAAATAATTGTTCTTCTACTTTAGTGAAGATGTACTAAGCTAATTACTCTTCTAAAAATAAGTAAGAAATATGTTATAAGTAAAAGTTATTAAATAAATAGATATAAGAATAAATTATATTAATATAATTAATATATTATAAAGAAAGATATAGCCATATTTAACCCATGCTATTAAAATTATCAATATAAAAATACTTTAGTTTTAAATAAGAATTGCAAGTATTAAAATTATAATTAATATAATTAATATAAGTATAAATTATATTAATATAATTAATATATTTAAAATAAAAAATAATATATATAATATTCGGGACGGGACGGGACATCCCGATGGTAATTCTGTGTCCCGTCCCGTCCCGTCCCGAACCCTTTTCCTGTCCAGTTTCGTAAAGTCCCGTCCTGATTATTTTCGGGTCAGTATAAGACCCATCTAGATATGATCGAGATGATATCGGGCCCATCGAAACGGATCCAGACTGAACATCCTTAACATTATAAACTGTGCTCGGATGCGTGAATGCCATAATGCAGTCATACAGCTGTGGATTATTTGGTTGTTAAAAAAAATAAATGAATTAAAAAATAAAAATAAAAATGAACTAGATTATCATCTAACTTGTGATAAATATGATAAAATTTGATATCATGTACCACAAATATAAGAATCACCATACCCTTAACAATTTTTATGAAATAATTTTTTTTTTCTTTCGTAAACATGACTGACTCATCTTCTTTTTATATTTATTATCTATTTATTTTCAATCCATTTTACCATCTTCTTTTCGAACAACGAGTCAAAAGTTCAGGTGACACAATCCGATATGTCTTGGATAACTAAAAGTAGAATTGATTCGAATGATGATATTGCAATGGGATGATAGATAATGATTGCGTGATATAAATAGTAACTTGACCTTATTATTTTATTAGCATTTGATCCTACTTTGCTTGAACTGGAGTGCTCTTTACTTTTCAAAATATAAATAATCGGATGATCTGTGAGTATTATTTATTACCATGCTATGAGTATAAGATTTTTATATTTTGTTAGATGATCACTACCATGTGTGTGTCTGTGTGTATATATTATATTTCCTTGTTATTTTCTTGTCAGAAGGACCGTTGTTAAATCTCAAATGATATATTGAATGAATAATAATAGGTCCATTTATATTGCAGACAAGATATTTAAATTTTTAAATTGTATAACTTTCAGACGATAATTGATTTGTAATTGTGTGAATGATATTAGCAACCTATCTTTCAAGGAACACTTGTATGATTTGTGTAAACAGTAGTAAGACAACGTGCTAAATGTGTGGCCAGATAAGAACATAGGTCAAACACATTAAAAGCTACAAACCAATTCAAAATTTTCTTACTTAATTAATTCCTTAATTACTTTATTGGCGGTGGCGCTATTGATCTTCACTTCATATGGAGTCACATCAATTACTCATCGCTTTGCCTATACATGCATGCATGTATGTCACTCAAGCTGAAGCTTAATTATATTTAGTAAACTATTCACGATCATGATTACGGTTTGAAACACGTTTTAGTAAGTACCATAATCACCGACAAAGCAAAAGAAAGTACCGTGTGATCTTTGCGACTTTAATTTACATTTCACAGCGCCATTTTCCTCGTAGTGTGTACCGATTCCTGTAAACCCAAATATTATGTCAGTAGAACTTAAATTACCTTACCAGATGAAAGATGAGAGAAAACACGGAGAAATTTGAAGATAAATTAAATAGAAAATAAAATCCATAAATTTAGGTAAAAATATATACATTTAGAATAGAAGATAAAATAAAACGATATAAATATACAATAAAATAAAATATGGTTAGATTTTAATATATTTCAAATTATCTTAGAGTTTCTTTAAAATCAGTCTTGTATCTGATAGTATTTTTAATATTAAGAAAAAAACCAATAAAGATACCTGCCATTATGCTATGATAAATTTAAAAAGCCTTATTTATTCCAATGTACGCGCTTTTGCTCTCCTTACACCAAAAAAAAAAAATTCAAAAGCTCTAATTGAAATCTTTAACCTATCTTCTAGAGCATCCACTCTCTTTCTTTATTTTCTCTCATGTGATCATAATTTGGGGTGTTCATGAAATGGGATAGAATGGAACCGGATCAGGCCAGAACCCTATTTTATGTCTTGTCTCAAAAAGAACAATATTAAGTATATATTTGGTTTTCAATTTACATTTGCCAAATATCTATTTTCAAGAAGTAACTATTCATTAGAATTGGTAAAGTTAAAGTACATCATAAATATAATTTGAATAGACTTTTGAAGCAAAACAAACAAACCCTAAATTTTCGTCTTGTGTTTCATCTCTTATCTTATTTGGGACTAGTAATGGACAGGATCAGATCGAGTAATATGGATAAAAAAGACAGAATGAAATAGAAATGGAGAACTATTAAAAATTAAACAGCTAACTAAAAAACTACTAGAGTGATAATAGATGGCAAGAGATTGAATTGGCAAAAACAGACGGCTCTTACTCTCATAAATTTTCTATAATTATTTATAATGAATATGAAAAATAAATGGCTGATAACAAGGTCGATGAATGGAGATCTGACTCAATTAGTAGCAATAATCAGTGTGAATACAAATATAAATGCTCTTAATATCTCTTCCCAAAATGCCTTTCTATGTTGGGAATAATCTATGCTTTGGCATGCTGGAAAACAATCTGCCATCCCTCGTAAAGCGAATGATGAGAGGCTTTGTTAAGAAGATCAATTAAGCTTAGGAAGTATAGATTTGACCATTATTTGAGTAAAAGTTTAGGAAAATGAAATGAGAGTTGAGATTTTTTTGGTGGGATTTGATTATTAATTATGTTTAATATTACACCAATGGAATCACGTTGGGTTTATGGTATGGCCTTATGCAAAATTGGAAATCAAAGAGTAGAGTGTCATCCATCTTTTGTTTTAAATAAGGTTATCAAAACCAAACCGATTGGTTTAACTAGGAATCAGCTAGGTAGCTAGTCTAGAAGCAAGGCAAAAGTGGGGGGAGGAAGAATTGCTGGTGAGCAATCCAAACTGGCATTAAACCGAGGACAATCAGAAAAAGCGGCACGTGGTTGTAGTTCACATTTATTTATTTTTCCTTCTCCCCAATTTGCTAAATACAACGTGGCTTTGTGTGTTTTTTTTTTTTTTTTTTAAAGAATGCGGAGGGACCAAAAGGGAGGCTATCGCACACATCTCACACTTAGGTACCCTAATTCCTAAACCTAAACCCCATCCTCAATTTGCCTCCGCTCTCTTTGTTCATTGGTTCATCTCCATCTCCTCTTGCGATTGCGGCTAAGCCTTCCTCTTCTTGAAGTTCGACCGTCCTCATCATCGTCCCAACCTAGCTTGTCATTCGAGATTCATCGTCTCAAGTTGTCATTCATTGTCTCTGCTCATTCATCCCAGCTCTCTTCATTGCTTTGAATCTGTCTAGTCTTATAATCGCCTACCTCTTCCTTGTTATCAACAAGCCAGAGTTCCTTGCTTTTCTCTTTTCACTTTAAACTTGTCAATTAGTAAATGGATTTAGCTTGTTAAATGCAAATGGGTATTTAATAATTAACAAATGATTAACTGTTAAAATATAATCTACATTTGTCTTTTTCTACAATCAACTTCTTTCAGATTTTTTAATTTGTCAATTAGTGAATAACTTTTTATTAAATGCGAATGAATACTTATTAATTAATAAATGACTATTTGTTAAAATATAATATATACTTGTCCTTAGTTTCCTACAATCAAAGTCTTTCAGATTTTTAAACATGTCAATCAGTGAATGATTTCTTATTAAATGCAAATAGATAATTGTTAATTATCAAATGATTATTTATTGAAACATGATTTACATTTTTTTCTTCCTACAACCAAGCTCTTTCATATTTTTAAACTTATTAATTAATAAATAACTTTTTATTAAATATGAATGGTTACCTATTAATTAATGTACGACTATTTGTTACTTAAAAAAAAATATGGGTATCATAGTCTTTCTCCATCTAGAATTATTTTCAAATTAGTCTCTTAATCCTGCAATAATATTTTATAATCTTTTAGTTCTTTTTTAATATCGAATATTCTCAATCGTCTTTGAATGATGTTTTCTAAAAAAAACTTCATAATTCATAAAAACCAACAAGCTCTCCACCCACAAACACAAATGGCAAGCCAATAAGCCATGATGTACTATATATTCTAACTTTACCAACATGCATTAATCTGGTTTCGTC